CTCCTCCGTTTCTCACTCTCTTCCTCCTGTCTTCTTCTTCTTCTTCTTCTTCTTCTTCTTCTTCTTTCTTTCTTCTTCTCACTTCTTCTAGTGCTTCCACTTCCTCTTCTTCTTCTTCTTCTTCTTCTTCTTCTTCTTCTTCTTATTATTATTATTATTATTATTATTATTATTATTATTATTATTATTATTATTATTATTAATGTTGTTATTATTATTCTTATTCTTTTAACATCAACTGGGCTTGCTAGTAGGGCTGGTGCAAGCAGCCACCACTAACAGTTCAGTGTTGATGGCTCCAATCTTATTGGTGGGGAGATGCACCTGCTGGCAAACGGGCCCAGCGCCCCTTTTAAAAAAATAGTGATACAAATGGTAGAGATTGCAAGCAGTACTACTAAGTTGGATAAAGGGATGCCTCTTCAGCCTGTGATGCGGCCACCTAATGAATCTGCTTCTCCTAGCTACCCCCTCCATTCTATGGCTTTCTACCCTTCTATTCCGCATCATTGTATTCCACACTGCCTGCTTTGAGGGGGGGAGGGGTCTAGAAAGAGTTATGGGGCTCTCAACGGAATGCTTGAGTCAACCGCCACCACTCATGAAAGATCAAGCTAAAGACTTTCCTAGCGGGCCCTCCCCCCCCTCCCCCTGGCCAAGCCACATGCGTCATTGAACCGCTCTTGTCAGCCCCCAGCCAGTAAGAGCAGAACTTAATAAGTTCGTTTTTGATGTCTTGTGTTTGTGATAGTTTGTGCATTTTGTCTGAGTCTACCATTGGGCTCTCAGTTCCATTTGGATGAATTGATAGATGGTTTCTGAGAAAATGTGTTCTATAGTCTCCCTGATTATGTGGTTGGGGAAGGCTTCCTGACAAAATCTGCACCATGGTAAGGCAAGCCCTTTTTGCTCGATGTGTAAGTGGTCATAAGCCAGTCATTAGTAGGGAGGCATCTATGGACTATTTGCCACTGTAGGGAGGCGAACTTGGCTGGTCTTTCCTTCATCTCCAAGACCATTAAATGCCTCTCACACTGGATCTATGGACATTGAGGAGTCTGATCCAGCAGTCTTTACCTATTGCCTGGACATTCATCCGCGGGATGCAACCAATAAGTAGCCTTGACCACTAGCATATGGAGTCTTTCCAGATGTTGGGTCCTGCCTGTTTGTCAAATCCGTTTCGGGCGGTCCAATGCAAGGGATGAGGGGATGTTTGGGTGATAGGGCATCCATGTCAGCTATAGTGTGCAACACCCTGATTTGGTATAGTTTCTCTTTGGGGTGTCATTCAACTCTATGAGGGTGGGTCCAGCGTGACGAATTAATCATATTCTGTTGGAAAAGTTATCGGGCGCACAGTGATCGAAACCCTTTTTTACCTGGAGGAAGGAGGGGATAATTTAGCTACTTCAACAACACACTGCACACGGGTCACCAAATCTTTTTTCAAAAACCTTTATACGTCTCAGATTGTGAATCCACAGGACGATGCTAGGTTGAGAGATCTGAATGATTTCCTCATACCAATGTCGAAAGCGTTGTCGAGGCAGCAAAAGGAAAGTTTGGAGGCCCCACTCACCAAGAACGAAATATGGATGCCATTGCTCCAGACGGAGGAAGGGAGAGACCTTTGGCATTGATGGCTTCCCAAAAGAATTATGGGAAGCCTTCACAAGCGGTTAACAAGGACCCCCAACTTTCCAGCCTTGGTTAACCCCTTCAATCCTAAAAAGTGCATTGGAGATCATTTTTTTCAGTTTTTTCTATTGCCCAGAAAACCGGTCTGGGCTGGGTGTATGATGTCTTCTAGCACATTTGCCATTCGATTCGCCAGGGTTTTTGCAAACATTTTGTAAACTACCGTTAGGAGGGCAAGAGTTCTTGATGTTCATCTTGTCCTACCGTTAGGAGGGCAATTGGCCTATAGTTCTTGATGTTCATCTTGTCCCCTTTTTTATATAGGAGTGTCAAAAGCCCCTGAACCTCCTCCCCCGCCCATATCCGCTTCCTCCTAGACATTCTCGTAATGACTCCACAAGTTCGTGCTTAGGCTGGGCCACAAGGCTTCAAGAGACCGTTAACGGAGACCTCAATTTTCAGACCACTTGTCAGGCTATTTGTAACAAAACCCAAGGGTCATTTTAATCAAACTTGCCACCAATTCATAGAATGGAGATCATACTAACTACTTATGAAAAAAACAAAAAAAACTAAAAAAAATTATCTCCAATGCACTTTTCAGGGTTGAAGGGGTTAACCAAAGCTGGAAAGTTGGGGGTCCCTATTAACCACTTGTGTTGACAGTTCCTGGACAAGTGCATGGAAAAATTCTAAGTTATTTTTCCGGATATCCGGATGGTCCTGGATCATCCGTTTTATCCGGCCGGAAAAAGGGGCCCGGAAGAACCCGAAAATTACCATTCTGGGGCCCGCACAAAATAGGCGCAAGTCTTTTTTGAGGGGCTTAGGGTTGAGCAAGGGTTTTGATCAACCTCTAGAACCCCGCCTTGGAGGCGAATCCAGTAAGGGCCCTACCGGATTTGAAATAATGATGGCCCGATCTGGGCCATCGATCGACTAACATCGACGGCCCAAATTGGGCCAATTTTTGAATTCGAATTTGGCCCAGGCTTTTCGAGGAGTTCGGTGCTCATCCCCAGCAACAGGCCGCTGCGGCGCTGCCCCGTCGTCGTGGTGCCTGCTGCTCGTTCCCGCCTGCCACCTGTGTGTTGGGCCTGTCGACGTTGACGGCATGCTGCCCCGTTTCCACACTGCCCCACTGTTGTGCTGCTGGAGCCAGGGTTGTCAACCTGGGGCCCCCGGGGGCAAAGCCGGGGTAGGGGTTTGACCCCCGGACCCCCGCCGGCGGGGTGCCCCACC